CCTGTTGGTGAAAAACGGTCGGGATTAATAAATCCATATAAAATGCCATAAGAAATTTATACGTGGGCTAATAACAAATATTTTGTCAATAAGCTTTTTTCGCTTGCAAAATGCCCCTAAGAGCATTAGAATACATAAAATGGACCGGATCTATATAAAAACTATTTTCAAAGTGTTTTTTTTATCGCCTGAAACTAAATGTCGCTTGGAAAATTAGGCTTTGGGCACATTTTCCAAACATAGAAGTGATAAAAATTTTGTATTTTATTTATTATGCCCCAGAATGGACCAAGGAGCTCCATCTTCGAGCTTTATTTAGGCATGGTAATTATAATAGCTTGTGCGACCAATGGATCCCATTTTCGGACACCATGTAGGCATCTTCGAACATGAACTAAGTTTGGAAGAAATATTACAATCTGCAAAGTTTAAATGCAATCGGTTACACCCTTCCAGAGTTATCATGCCAACCGACCTGATATGGGAGCTAAGTAAAAAAATGGGTACACTTTGAAAATTTTCTGCAACGACAGAAGGGTTATTCCATAAGTCGAGCTTACGGGCAACGGTCATATGCTGTTTCTAGGCGCTCGTAAAATATGTCTTTGGCCTGTTCGTCTTTATCTTCGGTCGGAGCATGGGCGCAAATTAGACTGATGTAAAATAACTTAGCTTTTATACGGATTATAGCAATTCGCTCATCTACTGGAGTGAATCTGGAGACAAGGTCTTCCATTCTCTTGTTAACCATAAATCCGCAGCCAAATTCATGTATCTTTTCATGGCAGCTATAATACAGGGCGTAATCGTCTGATTTACTTACGCCTGTCCCTTTCCATCGCATTTCCTGTAAGGCAATAATATCGGCTTCCTGAGTATGTCCGCCAAAGCGAACCAAGTGCAGATTCGCAGATCGTGGTCCTTTATACGTTTGCGGGGGTCGTCAACATTAGGGGGGTTTGGTTTTCTTCTTCTTTGCTTTTTCATAGTAGGTTGGGTTTTCCGAGAGTGGGGAACTAACCCAACGCCTCAACCCATTTTTTTATAGTTCTTATGGGTGAACTTCCACACTTGCTCACTATTTCATCGGGTGATGGCGTCCCCAGGTGGCACGGGACATGTCCACAATTGAGATGATTCACCTTGTCCCTGATACACCTCATAGCGGATAGGGCTGTCGACGAATAGGTGGTATGTGTCGATGTGTTTTTCATGGGTTTTTTTTCCAGAATTTGGCGCAGTGTGAAAATCTGGTCAATGTTGGATTTGCCAGGTCTGAAGCCGCATTGGTATGGTCCAATAATGTCATTGACCATTGGCTTCAATCGTTCACACAGCACACTGAATAGCACTTTATATGCGATGGGAAGAAGGCTAATTCCTCTATAGTTGGCACGTATCGTCTTGTTTCCGTTTTTGTGCACGGGACACAGGATGGGCATGCATTCTTCTAGCCAAATTGTACTAATGGTGCATGCTCCTGACCAGCATCTGACCACCAATCTTGAATAGTTCGGCTGGTAATTCATCGGCACCTGCTGCTTTATTGTTCTTCAGCCGATTAATTGCTACTCTGACCTGGTATACACTCTATACCGTCATCTCTTATTGGTTCTGGGGTATCTTCTTCGCCGCTAATATTTGATACCAGCTTTTCAAAATGCTCCTTCCAGATCCTCAACACGCGGTCTGCATACGTCACCAGGCTTCCTTTTTTACCTCTACAGGAGGATGTGCCTGCTCCAAAGCCTTCGGTTTGGTGTCTTACTCGTTGATAAAATTTCCTGACTGTTATATGTATCTGTTATATGGATCTGAAGCATGGGTACTTGCGCAAGCCGATGAGGCAGCTCATGGGTGTTTGAAAGAAAAATTCTCCGAAAGATCTACAGGCCGATCTGCATCGACGGTGAATATCGCAGTCGAATGAATCACGAGCTTTACAATTTATAAGCGGACATCGACATAGTCAGTTGTATTCAGCTGCAGAGACTATGGTTGCTAGGCCATGTTGTGCGGCGAATGAATGAGAATGCCTCAGCTCAAAAGGCATATAAAATCGAGCCTACTTATGATTCCCGTAGAAGGGCAAGGCCAGGAATTAGATGGAAGACATCATCTCTCAAATTGGAGGAGATGCGCACAAGACCGACACGCTTGGAAATCTGTTACAACCGGCTTATGGAACAACCGTTCTGTAACAAGCCAGCTAAGTAAGTATTCTGACTCCTGACCATCTCGATATGCTCACGCTCACTCATTTCTTGCATTTTTCTGAAATGACATCCTTAGAAAATAAAGTTTAAATATTTGGAACAACAGATCTCACTTTCGAAATCTTTCATTGACAGTTCGAAAAAACTAAAGCATTTGGTTTAAGTTTGAATCAGAAATTGGTTATAACGGCACAGATAGTCATGTGAAGAATCATCCATCCTTGCACGTATTTCAAGAATAACTCAGAATATTTCCCTCAAGTGTTTGAAGAAATTTCAGATTTATCCACTCCTTGTTGTTCTTCGGAATTGGGCATTCCACAAGTATCATTAAATTTGGTTTCAAGGCTTATTAAATTCAGTTAACACAAGATCTCAATTTTTATGATTTGAGTTGGATAGTAATGATCTGGACAACGTTTACAATCGATATGACGACGCTGCGTGTCCCAGAAGAAACGAAACGGTTTTACAGGAAAAAAATTCGGGACAATGTTATCTTGTGGAAGATGTGATCACAATTGGTCAACGAGATCTTAGGATTTAACACCCTTTAGGGTCGTGCGAAATATAATTCTACGATAAAACAAAGATAGAATTCGTAGATATAGTGTGGTCAATTTTCGATTCTTGATCTTGAATATGAAGCACAACCGTTTTTAAAAACATTTGTTTTTTAATTCCAAATTAACACCTTCTTGGAAATCCTGTATTTTCTAAGCTTTTAATCACAAATTTTCAACAAGCTTAAATTTTGGTTAACTGGTTTAAATATCAAAAATTAAAATCTTGTATTTTTTCGGCAAGAAAAACTTACTTTTGTTTATCCATTTATATTTGTCAAAAAGTGCACCACACATCTGTCATCCAAATATTCGACATCTGTCTTCAAGTTTCAGCACACACACAAAAATTGGCGGTTTAAAGTTTAGACTTAAAGATATCAACAAACGTCTTCTTCTGCTAGTGACCGACCTCATGGCAAGCTATTATATAACTGAAACATCTACAGTTGTCTGCGGATCAAGGACACGCCAACAATTCAGTGTCTAACGGTCAAAAAGGGGGTATTTTTCCAAACGTCTCTTTTTTAAACATAATAGAAGCCAGCAAACATAGTTCAAGGTCAAGCAGGACATGTATGTAGAGAACATGCATGCACAACATTACAAAAATTCAGTTGTTATTTTAAAACATAACGGTATTTTCAATAAAAACCATCATCATACCACCAGATTCCAGTACCACGCATACACACATACATAGTAGATACGTGAATTCATTTTGTTGTTAAGTATGAACTCTAGTTTCCACACATAACAACATGGAACCAGTATGCCAACAATATGTCCTTAGAAAATTTTTGCCAAGGATATTCCAGAAAATCCACATACACACACACACACACACTCTCACATGAAGATATACAGATGTAGATTATGATTAAGTATGAAATCTAGTTTCCACTTCAGGACGAAAAAAAAAACGGAAAACCACAATGGCAAAACATATTTTTTGCAAAGGACTTGTGAAAAGTGAGCTGTAATTGGTGAAAAAATAAGGGTTGCTACTTCAACGTTAGACCAGCGGGTCTTGTATCGAAATTTACTCTGCAGTGTGTGTGTGTGTGTGTCCATCTTAAACAACCCTCATCCCCTATTGAGGCAATTTTTCTTAACGAACAAGAAAATAAGACAATCTTCTCAAAACCATCATTTAAAACAGGATCGTTGTCTAGGGCCAGACATTCAACTTCTGAAGTTGAAACCAAGCACACACACCACCTATCCAAACTCAAAACAAAAAAAATATTAAAATTTTTTGAAAAAAAAAAATATTTAAAAATATTGAATTTTTTAGAAAATAAAATATCAAGGTTTTAAATATAAAAATTTCTAAAAGAAAAAAATAAATATATATTGTTTAAAAAATAAAAAGTAATAAAATAAAAATATTAATTTCAAATATAAAATTAAAAAAAAAACTTTAAAACGTATTCAAAAAATTAATGATAAAAAAAATTACAATAAATAAAATATTGAAATATTTTAAATTAAAAAAAAAAAAAAATTTCACGTATATACAAATTAAAAAATAAAAATAAGTAATACAAATTAAAAAATAATAAAAAATATTTTTTTCTAAAAAAATTAAAGAAAAATATTTTAAATAAAATTTAAATAAAAATTAAACCATAAATATTGAATAAAATAAATATTAAAAAATATATGTTTTACTTATAATTAAAATAAAAAGTAACAATATATTATTTTTTTTTTGTTTATAAATATTTTTCTTTTTTAATAAAAACCCAAAAATTTGACTAAAAAAACTAGTGCTACTTAAGTGATTCAAATTGGTGAGTGAAAATGTCTAAATATATATTTTCTCTATTTAAAATAAGTGACAACTCCAGATTTTTTTCCGATTCCAATAACAATTTATTTATACATTTTATGGTTTCGTTTATATATAATTTTTATATTTTGTTTTTAGTTTTTTTTTTGTTTTTTTTTTTTTTTTTAATATTTGTTCCCTTTAATAACTTAGTAAATAATCAGGATTATGTCCGTTCAAGTAATTCGGACAAAGAAGAAGAAAAACCAAAAAATGTCAACAAATTTGCCACAATTACACAAACAAATACAAAGAAAGTTCCGCAAGTTCCGCCTTCTAAAAGAATATCTTTTTAGCCAAGAAAAAAAGTATAGTCTTAGAATAAAAAAATCTTAACATGGTATCCTGCAAAAGGATCATCACCAGTGGAGTATATTTTTGATATTTAGCTTTCTCCTCATTTATTGATCATTCATTTCGGCATTGTTCATGCGCATTTTGGCAAAATCTTCAAACACAATATTGTCATCATCGTCCTGATAATAACCCTTGGTGTTGCGATGCTGTTCAATTGATTTCATTTTCTTCATGGCATTGGAACGTTTCTTTTCAATGGTTCCTATAACAAAAATATTCAAAGTTTAATCGTAAAATGTCTGAATTTCTTGTGGATTAAAATACCTGGTGCCGGTTGAGCCAATTTGAACGGCACATCAGTTTGTATTTCACCACCCAGGGTGCCACAATTCAATTTCACCCTCAATGAATAGGAAATGACAATACCACATGCATCACCAGTTGATTTACCATCCTGCACCATGGTGGACGAGGCCAAGTTGACATCTTCGTCCTTAAGATGACCATCCAAGGCAATACCTGTTTTGGTTTTGATTTAAATTTAATTTAAACAAAATTAATACAAAATTCTTCTTCTTAAAATTATGACAAATTTTCTTTTTCAGAAATGCACAAAGAAGGTACAAAAATAAAATTTATTAAAATACTTAAGCCCACTTCAAAATCCACAATTATAGGTCTGATAGTAGGTCGAAATTAGTTTCTGTATACGCCATCTACATCTCAATTACCGTATCGTTTTTCCGAATACAATTGTTCATACAGTGCATACTTTTGGGAGCTGACGACATTTTCCAAGAATTTGTATTTAATACAAAATTGGAACTACGACATTTCTTTAAAAAATCATCCTTCATTGCTTCTTTGAAAAGAATGTTCTTCCTTCCACAACTATTTTACAGAATTATCGCCTATTTTTCTATGAGATGATGAAAATTCACCCCATTTTATGTGAGAGTTCTTATTAGAAATAAATTATTTAAAAAACCTTATTTTGAAAACTTTAAGTCCACTTCAAAACCCACAATTATATGTTTGATAGCTGATCGAAATTTGTTTTTATATACGCCATCTACATCTCTATTAGCTCATCGTTTTTTTTTTAATATATTCGTCACATCTCGAAATTCGTCATATGAAAGGAATAGGATAATTATCTTAGCATAAAACGATACGTAAATCTTAAAAAATGAAATATTAAAAAAAAAAATCTTGAACGCCATCTACACATCAGCATTTGATAATGTTCTTTAATATATTTTTTTGAGAATGGTGTATAAGATTAGGCGCCTGAAAGGTTTTAGTTTTTGTAAGGTTGTAGTTTTTCAGAAAATCGTATCGTAAGTATCACAGGAAATATCTTCCCATCTAGAGGAAGATTTTAGTGGATAATTGTATAATAAAAGTTATAATGAAAATATGTAGCGAAACACATATATAGATTATTATAATGGATGTCATCTACATATATGATGAAGAGCGCCATCTATACTTGAAAATGTACACATTGTTCTATAGTAGCATTTTATGCGAAGTGTATAAATTTAGGCGCTTCAAAATACATTAGAGCCACAAATGGCATAAATATTCAAAATTATATACGAATTTTGTGGATTCGAACACTGTTGATATTTCTATTCAAAATCACAATTCATGACCCGTTTTCTCCCAAACTTCCACCATAAAGTATTTAAAACAAAAATTGATCCATTCTAATAAGAACTTTTTTAGGCTCCAGATGCCTATTGAAGACCTTTCTTCGAATTAATGAGGCATAACATATCTGCCTCACAGCCAAAGATGGGTCTTGAAAATTTCCCTTTGCAATACACTTTCAAAAATATTTTTTTTTTTCACTGTTGCTTTCCTCTCACTTTTTCTCTTACTCACCATGCCTATCCTTGTTATTCGATGCCAATGGTATCAAATAGAATGTCTTAGTCAAATTTGCACCCGGTGTAATGGGACAGCCTTCCTTGGTTTCCAACTGGGCAACATGTTTGCTAAACTGTGCATTCACCATTGTGATCTCGGTATGCTGAATGACGAAGCATTTGATATTTTTCACAGCCTTCTTGGAGCTATTATTGATTTGTACTGTGGCTGCCACTTTCTCTCCATGATAGTAAATTTCACGATCCAATGTGACTTCCAAGCTAATTTTTCCATTCGAGAAAGTGAATCCCTTGCTGACCAAAGAGCTGGGCAAACGTTGACCCCTGGTCGGGGGAGCATATTGCAACTTCTTAATCACCAAACTGACCATGCTACGTTTGTGTTGACGTTCATCTTCCGAATCGGCGACATAGGCACGAATGGTGTATTCCACACCCAAGGGCTTGCCATTATCATCGCCCTCCTGTTGCAAAGTTACAGAACTGGGTGAATTGGGTGGGAAATGGAATGTAAATGGATGTGCATTAACACCGAGTTTTCGCACTAATTTCTCCTGCACGGGAGTCATTTCCATGTTGGGATTGCTCATCGGCACAATAACTTCGCGGCACAAGATGAGCTCCTTGGAAAATTTAACACCCATAACTTCATCCTCTTCACGGCCATAACGATAGGTGGTCACCAACTGGCCGAATACCTTGCGGCGCTTGAGATATTCTTCATCGACCACCACAACACCATCGACAGGATCACAATAATCCAAGTGATCAATGAAGTCACGGCGACCCAAATAGAAGGTCACCTTGCCATTGGGTGTTGCTTTTTTGAAAACTTTCACGGAAACTACCATGTTGTTCGATTCGAATCTAGTTTTGTACTCGGTAACTAAATGTATTCGCTGCTGAGGTGAAGCGCTGCTGTTGATGAGCGGCGCAGAAAACTTATCGCGAAAATGCGGTCAAATGCTGTTGGGCACCTGCTTTTATACCTTCGATTTAGGGGGCCATCAGCCAAAGCATTTTAGGGGTTTCATAAGTTTCTCTAAGTCCGACCAGCAGTTAGTGCTACCACTGCCACTAAGTGGATTTAATGATTACAAAAACACAATGTCTTTGTTACAACAAACACTACTGTCATGTAGTCGGTATTTTCTTTCTTTGCGAAAACATTATTTTCTTGATGTAACACCAGTGACATGTTAGGTTACATGAATAGATTCCACAAGGCAGGGTTCTACCGAATAAATAAATAAAAAAAACATATTCCAAGGGAATAATGGGGGGGTAGGGGAAGAGATGAGTGAAGAAATATTTTCCATACCTTAAGTGGACATTATTTTGTTGTTGCTTTATTTGTTGCTAATTTTTGCGGTTTGGCTAATGTCAGGGTGGCTTTTAGCCATTTTAAAGAAAACATTGACCTTGCAGAAGGTCTATCCGCTCTATCATGGGAAGTATACCTAAATTTGTGAAGAAGACATAAAAGTCAAATTGTGTTGGGTCATGGTTAAAAGGGATTCACTGGTTATATTTTAAATAATAAATAATTGATAAATCAGATCCACAAGGACCATAAAATCATAAGAAAGAGACATATGTATTTTTAATCGAAAAAGGCCCATATTAAAATGTTGTTCTATGGAGGCTTTCCTGTGCAACAAAACTCTATTTAAAGTCAGATTGAGAATCTATTGTACTCCTTTATAAAAAAATTGGGTTGATAGAAAAAAAGTGAAATCAATATTTTCAAATTCCCAACATATTACTTTTCATTGTGAGTAACATAATTGTTTCCTCTTGGCATACCTTCCCCTTCCATTTGCGCTTATTTTCCATTTCATCGAATTAAGGGAGAACATCAATTGTTTTGGTTTAATGAAAAATACAAAAAAAAAATTTTCCACATAACATTGAAATTTTTTTATGCAAGACTTAAACCAAAATCAGCTGAGTATGCATTTATTGGTAATGGATTTATTCAGCAAGGGCGAATTAAAACAAATATTAAAGCATACTTTAGGGAGCAATAAATGATATACACAATGGATGAACGATTTCTTTTATATCGTGACTAATTAAAGGTTACTGTCTAGGTTGAACGTTTTTAATAAGCAATGTACGATATTGAAATATTAGGGATTTCTATTCGCAATGAGTATGTTTATTTATTTTTTGGGAAAATTTTCTGCAAAATATTTAGGTACTAAATATAAAAAAATAGGGTAAAAAATTACATATTTATAAATAGTGACATCAACCAAGTTTGGAAAAAAATTACCTACAAGAAACTTTCTCATAACAATACTATATTTTGTAAATAATCATATTTGAATATAAAATTAGAGAGTCATAAATAACAAAAAAGAATTTTGAACATGTTTAATTTTTTTTTTTGAAAATACTTAATATGTAACTAATGTACCTCATCATTATTATTTAATAAAGTATTCTTTAGAGTTTTTTTTTAATGAGTAGAAAATGTTTTTGTTTATATTTTTATTATGTATCCTCACTTTTATCACCAAATCGCTTAGAATTTAACGTTTTTAATTAAATATTTATTATACACACTTTACCATTTACATTATCATTCGTAAACAAATAAAATTATATTTTTTGTTTTTATATATAAAATTTAAAAATAATATATAAACATTTTTTTTTATTTTTTTTACAGTTAAATTCAATCACATAAAATGTATACCACATATACTACACCCGACCGCCATGGTTATAGTGTAAAATTTTCAACATTTGAAACAGATCGACTACTGCTGGCCACAAGGTAAGTCATTATTAAATAGATTATAATTATAAAATAAAATAATAATTGTGAATTTTAATAATAGAAAATGGAAGTACGATTAGAGCGAGATTTTTAATAGCTTAAAATCTTCCATACTTTTCGGTATAATTAAAACGGAACTCAAGAGAATCTCAGAATCTCGTTCTATAGGGAACTCAGACGAAAGCTTTGCATGCCTAATTTCAATCGATTAATTCCGCGACATTTTTTAATACTAAACAACACTGACACCTAGACCCCTAAACATACATATCTTACTATTTCTCCCATATTCGAATCGTCCATCAATAGAATTGTTATTTGATTAAAGGTCAACAGTTCCTCTTTCTTGTAGTGGTAACGTTTCCGGATCATTTTTCACGGAGTGAATATTTAGACCATAAAAAATTAAAAATTTTGTCACTTTTCGCATAACAGTTTTTGTTACATTTGGCCCGCTAAATATTGACCCGCCTACAATTTGTGATGTTCGGCTTATAATTGTGACCTCTAGAGCGATTAGAAAAACAGACCAAAATAAAGTTTTTGATACATTTCCCTTAAATATCATCTGATCAACACAGAGAACTGAGGGTGTCGTACTTGACAATAACAGGAACTTCATGCTAAATTTAGTAGCCATCAGCGAGACATTTCAGTCCTCTAGTTGGGTAATAATACTACAGTATGTTTCGGTTAATTGAACCTACGGTTAATTGGTTTCCACGCTTAATTGAACCACATGATGGGTCAAAAATATTTCATTTCATAGTAAGCGGGTTCGGATAATTGGTTCCTCGGTTAATTGAACAAAAATTTGTGCAAATTTTGATGTGCAATTAACCGAAAAATACTGTATAGAATATCGGAATATGTAGACACCAGTAAATATGGTAGTACAACTCCCACATCCTAGTACATACATCAGCATAATTGGTATCAATTTAAATTGGATATACTGGTAGCGTATCCTGTCAATGTCCTTCTAAAACAAAAATCTAGTAGTCGATTTTCACAATCCTCCCCAGATTTATTTTTCTTTTATCATTAAAGAAATTTTGCAATGCATGAAAAATATGATAATCGCTTGGTGCCAAGTCGGGACTGTATGTCACTGTAGATGCTGGGCCACAGCGTTATGCTGGTGGAACACGACACCTCTCCGGTTGGCCAATTCCGGCCGTTTCTGGTCAATTGCTATCTTCAAACAGTTCAGTTGTTGACAGTAGATATCAGAATTTAGCGTTTGGCCATATGAAGCAACTCATAATAAATAATCCCCTTCCAGTCCCATCAAATGCATAGCAGAAACTTCCTGGCCGTTAGTCCTGGTTTGGCCACCGTTTGAGGTGCTTCACCGCTCTTCGACCACGATCGTTTTGCGCATAGGTTATCGTATGTGATCCATTTCTCATCTCCAGTCATCATCTGTTTAGGAAATGGGTCTATCACATTCCGTTTGGTCAAGGCTTCGCAGATAGAAAATCGATCCATCCTATTTTTTCTGTTAATTGGTATGGCACCCAAACATCGAGCTTCTTTTTAAATCCAGCTTGGTGTAAACGGTTTAAAACAGTTTTTTAGTCGATTTTTAGCTCTTGGGCAGTTCTAACTGCTAAAATGCAGGTCAAAAAAATAATGGATTTCTTTTTCCCCAACCTAATATATTCCGCATAGAATTCAAATTTTGACAAGCATCTGGATGCATTTGACCCGCTTAATAATGCTTATTATTTGACTAAATACATTCCATCTCTGCATAAATATAAACATATAAAGATTTTACCCACATTTTCCTATAGTAACATTTTTCAGGTTTGTGTCAATGAAAACTCACGGCATTAGATACATTTTCAATATCTAAAATTGTTTCCAACCCTGTATTTTTATCAATTCTGAATTTTTTTCTGAAATCCGGTATCCATTCAAGACCATTTTGCATCCACTCACAGGTTTGCAATAATTACTAATACGGAGGCACCCAGTGTTATTACCGTCTCAAACCCGGTATTTTCATCTCTAGAGAAATGTGGCAATATTAAATCTTGTTATTTATATGAATATCATTTGTTTGTGTCAGTGATAAGAGTTGAGGCTATGCTAATTATAGGGTATCATTCCAATATCAAGGTTTACTGTTGAAAAGGTACCCTGTGTTGTCATATTTTAACTCATTAATGTGAAACCGAAACATCTACAAGTAGTGGACGGAATTGTAGACAAACACCAAATACTTATAGCACTATTGTGAATGAATACACTGAAACAAATTTAATTTCTGTCGTTAAAATTAAATCTATATCCTTAGGTATATATTTATTTCAAATATTTTATTTATAACTGCATATTTTATTTTACTAATCTCATTTCCTCTGTTTTTTTCTTTTCTTTATTTCCAGTCAATTATATGGCTTGGCCGGTGGTGGTTCTCTATTTCTTTTACAGGATAGCCCCAACAATGGAATCGGTGAAATTGCCCGTCTCGAATGGTCTGATGGTCTATTTGATGTTTCCTGGTGTCCCTACAGTAACAGTGTTGCTGTTACATCCTCCGGTGATGGTTCACTACAAATATGGTCCGGTTTAGATGCCGACAGCGAAACCTCTACGAAAATTCCCCAAAAACCGGTAATGTGTTTGCGTGAGCACAAAAATGAGGTATACAGCGTCGATTGGAGTGAAAAATGGAATTATCATCAAATACTATCGGCCAGTTGGGATGGTTCAATAAAATTATGGGATTGTAATCGTCAAAAGTCGGTAGCCACTTACAGTGGTCACAGCGATTTGATATACAGTGCAAAATTTTCACCATTTATAGCAAATATTTTTGCTAGTGTAGGTACGGATGGAATATTAAATTTATGGAATTCTTTTGATTTTTCAGGTAAGCCATTGATGTCGGTGCCCGAGGCTCATAGTTGTGAAATCTTGTCGATGGATTGGAGTAAATTGGATCGTAATGTTTTGGTGACCGGCGGGGCTGATGGTTTTGTCCGGGCCTGGGATTTGAGAAATATGAAGGAACATGTTTTTGAGCTGTTTTCGGGAGAATTTGCCGTGAGGAGATTGGCATTTTCGCCACACAAGGCCACCGTATTGGCATCGGCAAATTATGATTTTACAACAAGGTATGTTTTTACTTTCTTTCTTTTTTATTTATTTGGTTATTAATTTTATTTTAATTATTTTTTCTTCTTTTGCCTTCAGAATTTGGGACTTTGGTGTCTCGGCAGATGCTGTTGAAATCCATGAACATCACACCGAATTCGTGTGTGGTCTCGACTGGAATGCCAACAAAGTTCATCAACTTGCCGACTGTGGGTGGGACAGTGTAATCAATATTTTCACACCGAAAACACTTAAAATGTGAAATGGAGCGTAAATTAAAATCAAAGAGTAATACAAGGTAGCAACTCGAATATTAAGCAGATACCGGAAATGCCTTAAATGGACAAAGCTTGAAAGGAAGAAAAATATTGAAATAAGGAATTGTGATAAACTTCCCAAAAAGACTACCAATGGAGAACAGAAAGCAGGATGAATACGGACAGATGGATCCAACCACCCACAGTTTACAGAGTCCATAGCGTAGCGGATACAATTGGGTGGCATAGTATGCCACCCAAATGATAATGGATATAGCCAAGCTAAATATCGAACAAGCCATACATTGTGATAGTAACATTTCAAATTGAAAGAAAGGATTATTTTTATTTCAGATTAAATTGAAATAATGTTTAAATAGATTTACGAATAAATAACCTTATTTTTATTTATTATATAATGTAAATAAAATTTTAATTTTAAGAATGCTTTAAATAATTCTGTATTATTTTGAATATAACTACGAAAGTGTAGTCAATGGCAAAATATGATTTTTCGGTTCGATTTCGGTTCTATCGTACCAATCTACAACCGATAGAAAGTAGAGGGAAATTAGAAAATCTGTGGAGACTATTTGCCATTTTTATACCCTGCTCCATAGGGTGAGTGCAAACATGTCATTCCGTTTGTTACCAGTCGAACTATTTGTCGAAGACCCCATCAAATCAAAATAATGTCGATTTAGCCTATTCCGATTGTTCTTCTTCTCTTCACAACGGGATAGTTAGAACAATATTTAAAATAGGGCTTCAAAATTTTTGCACAGTCATTGGTAATAGTTCTAGGATATTTGATATTGAAAAGTGGGATATATTGGTCCATGTTTTGGTGTACCCTCCATATAATGATACCCTCCCATTTTTTTCCTTTTAGTTCCCATTAGGAGGCAAATTATATAATTGGTGTAGCCCCCATAGAACGGTACCACACAACTTACGAGGATTTTTGAACGATTTACGGAACTTATCTCTATAGAATGGGTTTTAATTTGATATTTTAGGTTATCATTCTTCTCCCAGAAAAAAATCAAAATATCATCCTACTAGAATAAAACAATATCGGCCAACTTTTAGGGACAACTCCTAAATAACAGTTCCGCACAATTTTTAGGAATTTTTGTGGAATTACGGAACGTTTTTCAGCCGAATTGGCTGTTATTTAATATTTTGGATTTCCATTGGGTGGCCCATCTTCCTACCAGAAAGTATCAATTTCGGTCCACGTTTTGGTGTCAGTACAGTATCCGTCAATTTTGGATATTTTAAGAATTTCCGAAACGTCATTCAAGCCAATTGGCTTAATCGCGATATTTAGGTTTCTCTATTTTTACCAAAATATCGCGATATCGGTCTATCTTTAGATATAGGCCCCCTGTAAAGTTCACGACCCATTATAGGTATTTTAATGGTACTTTGAACCATGTCCAATCGAAGAGGTTATAAATTAGTATTTCAGATTTTTGGATGGTGGAAGATATCTATGCAGAAAATGTTCAATATAGGTTCATGTTTAGTCATAACCCTCATATAAATGTTCCGCCTCATTTTATGTATCTTCAGGGTCCTATGTGAATTTTCTAACCGCAGTGGCTGTAATTTGGCATTCCGTATTTTTGCTAGGTATACAACATTCACGTCAGAACATTTTCAATATCATGACATGGCATAAAGGTCATATAACACCCATGTCAAGGGGGGTTATAGGACCTATCATAGCATTTCGTTCTTCTAACTGGACTCCTTGTGTGTCCTTTTCATCCTTAATTTATTGAACCGGACTCCAATTATTACAAGATGTGATTTTTCATCTTCGCAATGTTCTACAAAAATGTTGCTCGTAAGATTTTAGGTGGTGTCCTCAAAGAAGAGAAATCGATATTTAAAGGTTTTAATGGTCAATTCTTAATTTTACCCGTTTCTTGTCACTTAAATCCAACAAGTATGCATTTCGATAAATTCAGTATACATTATTTATTAGGTAGAACTGTCGGATTCTTCCGAATTAGTTTCTAAAAAAAATAAATAAATTTCGAGGAAGAAAAAACCGGTTTTCTAAATTTTTGAACCGGATATTCAGGTAATAAAACCGGTTTCAATACTTTATATGCATAACTTTAGAAAGCTAGTGAACAAACGTGCTAAATTTATTCAACTGGACTATTATCGATTGTATTATCTTATTATGTAGAACAGTCGAATTAGTCCGAAATATTTTCTAAAAACATATAGATATGGCAAAAAAAATAAATAAATTTCGCAGACGATAGAATCGGTTTTCTAAATTATTGAACCGGCTATTCAGGTAATAAAACCGGTTCCAATAACTTATATGTATAACATTGGTAAGCTTGTAAACAAACGTGCTAAATTTATTGAACCGGACTGTTATTGGTTGTATTATCTGAAGATCCGGTTCAAAAATGTTAGAAAACCGATTCTCTCGTCTTCGTAATTTATTATTTTGAAAATGTCGTCATCAGGTGCCTTCTTAGGACCAGCCAGATTTACATTGGATTCCCTGATGCTTACAAGAATGTGTCTCCAAACATTGTAGGCTTCCTTCTAAAAACTCACACTTCAATATTTTTATTATCCTTGAAGAGTATTCACGGCCCTTCATTGCTTGGATGATTTCCAAAACATCTTATTTTCAAATCATTTCCAATTCTGCCAACCCGGTTACATCGAAACCAATATTGGCCAACAGTGAAAGGGGTTGTTAGTGGTGGGTGTTGGGTGTATTGGCGTGTTGTTATTGTTGTCATTACATTTGTTGGGTGTAACTGCTGTTGTTGTTATTTTTAAATTTAGAAAATAAATTCGATAAATTCCAACGATCACATGCAGTGCAGTACGACGTCAGCCGATAAAAATAAAGACTCATCTCTCCCACTATAGTGGCCGACAACAGCAATAACAACAGCGAAGACGACGGCATTAGTGGCCAAAAAAAGTATTGGCGTAACAGTTTTGGCTCGTTCGCCAGCACAGCACCTCAACTCATCTCCTCATTATCATCGTCGTGGACGTGGACGTTGTGATTACCGTAATCATCCACATCATCATCATCACCATCTTCGTCAGCATGAGCCTGCATCCGAAATAAAACATGTGAATGTTTTCTTTTATTGTTGTTTCTGTTGTTGTTTTTATTATTATTGTATTTGTCTGAAATGATGCCGAGGCGCGTGATTTCAGTTTAGCGATGTTATAAATATCGACATCGAAATGAGGAATAAATAAAAATGTTTTGTTGTTTTATATAAAAAAATAGAATTAAAAGATTTGAAAATGAAAAACACCCACACACACACAGTAACAGGTTGAAATTTCCCCGAATTTTGAATGTGTTTGTGTGTGTGTTTTGGTTTACTTTTGGCAAACATTAACGCTTGGTGGTTGGTGTTAACGAAAAGGAAAACAATTGATCCTGAGTGTATTTAACCCATTAGGTGACTAATTGAACTAATTGAATATTTAGGAGTTTTACATTTTAGGAAATCTAGTCTATTGAAAAATATTCTAAATCATAAAATCCACTCCTGTTTGAGTCCTTCAAAAAAAAATTCCTCATAAAATCCACGTTTATTTGAGTTCTTGAAAAAATAAAATCCACGCCTGTTTGAGGCCGTGGAAAAATATACTTTATAGAATCCACGCCTGTTTAAGTCCTTGAAAAAATATTCTTCTCGCCGAAGAATCTCAAAATAAAATTACTAAATTAAATTCTTTAATTAGAAAACATTTTGTTGACCAATGCTGTGATTTGCTGATGCATTTCTAAAATATGTGTAAGATTATTTATGTAAAACTATTTATAAACAATTTTACACACACAAACATAAACACGTTGCATTCTCATCTGCAAATCGCTTGCAACGCTTTGATATATGCGCCATTAATGTTTACACGATCTTGGAAGATATCATCGAGGTGAATGGTTTTCTGTTTATAGTACGCGAATGTATGTATGTGTGTAAATGCCAGTGGTCAGTTTTTTGGATTTTAAAAATAGATTGAAAAAAATTTTCAGAATGCAAAAACCAAAAAAGTGCAACCAAATTTGAAATGTTCCTCAGCTATATTCAGCGATTCGTGTGCCAAAACACAATTCCATCCCATATAGACGCACATAAATATTTCGGCATTTCAAAACAATTTTAAATGAAACATTCAAATTCCCACGTCTTTAATTTATAAGTCGTATAATAGCTAGGCAGGCATTCTGTCTGTCGGTCTGTACGTACGTCCATACGATGGCATCATGTGATTTCTGCCAGAGATCTGTTTTTCATCATTGGCAAAGAAAAAAATATAATTTCTTTAATTTATAGGCTTGCGGGGATGAATAATCCGCTGTAGGCGTATTCTATAAATTTTAGAAAATATTACTTCGGAAAGAAATTCCTCAAATAATATTTTCATTATTAATCAAATAATATTTTGCAAAAACTAGTTTACAAGGATCTACAGAAGCTGGGATATTTTTCAAGAAAACGTGGATTGATTTAAAAATAATTTTCAAGAAAACGTGGATTTTTTAAACATATTTTTCAAGAAAACGTGGTCCTTCAAAAACACTCTTTATAAAATCCACGCCTTGTTGGTCCTTCAAAAACACTCTTTATAAAATCCACGCCTTGTTGGTCCTTCAAAAAACATTCTTTATAAAATCCATGCATTGTGGGTCCTTCAAAAAACATTCTTTAAAAAATCCATGCCTTGTTGGTCCTTCAAATACGTTCTTTATAAAATCGACGCCTTGTTGGTCCTTCAAAAAATATTCTTTATAAAATCGACGCCTTGTTGGTCCTTCAAAAAATATTCTTTATAAAATCCACGCCTGTTTGAGTCCTTGAAAAAAATATTCTTTATAAAATCCACGCCTATTTGAGTCCTTGAAAAAAATATTCTTTATAAAATCCACGCCTGTTTGAGTCCTTGAAAAAAATATTCTTTATAAAATCTACGCCTGTTCGAGCCTTCG